TATCCTTTTGTGTTGTGGAGACGTAGCCCTGCGAGTAGTAGGAGGCGACGAAAAGGACCCAGTACCTAGGGGTATAACTGGGCCACCTGTTCCTAGGGGCTATAAATACGGGAACCTGGCCCTCCAGGTTTGAGGAGTCTCGAATCTGAGACAGTAAAATGTGGTCATGAGGTCCGCAGGACTCGGGTCTGACAATGAGTGCGCTGGCGAGGACCAGCAGAAATTGTAAACGACAGACCCATCCTCTCGTCAGAGAGGGTGTTACATAAGGACTGTGACCGCAAGTGTTCAGCTTGAAAGGCAAATTCTGGTCTTGAGTCTCAAGGGGGCTTGTCGCCAAGAAGAGCTGATTGTCGGTAAACCACCAGTCGTTAAGTAACTCTGACTCTGACTAACCTACTAGGCCTGACTTTATTAACAATTTTAAAGGTGCCTCTTCTACTTGCAACTTTACGACGAACTTTTCTCCGGCAGTTTTTGCCAGAACCAAGCTTCACACACAATTCGTACAATAATACAGCCCGGATATTTAGAAGTGACAATCCAGGGAAAGTTGCGCAGTGGATGGGCAGGTCCATTCGTGAAAGTTAAGGGGTGTTGTGATTAGTCATTCGTTTGTTTTCAGTGCGAGCAGACGTCTCAAGTTCAGTTAAAAGCATTCCTCCTTGTACAGACAAGTTAAAAAGTTTTGACTCTTGGAGTAGTATTTGAGTGTATTATTCTCTATTTACTGTATTAATATTTTATTTTGTTGTTCATTTTTATTCGTTGATTTTCTTTTTTGTTTGTTTATATTTGTACATTTTTTCTATCTACTTTAACATGCCATTTACACGAAGTAAACTGAGTGGAAAAGTGTTGCATTCACAATCAAGAGAAATTGTTAGTAATGTATATAAGTATATGAAAGAGGCTGGGCCAACAATTACAGTGAAGGACGTAGGAGTGGAAGTAGCAAAGGCAACAGGTGTATCGGAAAGTAGTGTCAGAAGAATAATAAGAGAAACAAAAAATATCGAATCTGGGGATTCCACTTCCTTTTCGACACCCCATAAAGAAAGACCTAGGAAATCTCCACTAGCCACTTTGGACGACTTTAACGAGTCTGTGGTGCGAAGAACAATTAATTACTCCTACATAGTCGAAAAACAGATAACTACCCTGGAAAAAGTTAACGAAAAGTTGAAGAAAACGTTCCATGTTGTCGGTGATAGTGATAACAGCTCTGATGATAGCTCCGATTCATCTGGCGATGATGAGGAAGGACAGGCATGTGGAGATGATATCTATGCGGACATTGCCGGTGTTGCCCCTTTAGAATAGACCTGTGTAGTATGTAAATAAACTCTTCATGTATATAACAGTGAAAAGTGTATAATAGTGTATAGTGCATAACATTCTGCCATTCGGCACTTAAAACATAACATCGGATATGTAAACATCAACAAGACTGTACCACCAACACTATGCAACACAATGAGGTAAGAAGGTATTTCCTTTTGAGAACGCCTGTACTGCATTCCCCTCCACACTTGTCGGCATGCTGGAGCTCTCCCCGCCACTACCAATACTTCTCCTACTCCGCGGCGGAGGACTGTCACTTCTAAATACCATGGCAAAGTAAACCAGACATGAAGAAAGCAGTCTTCTGGGATTTGGCACCGTGTATATGTGGTGTTAACCGACGTTTCAGAGGAAAAGCAGCTGCTTTTACCGGTTCTCACGGTCTGTTTGCTTGCAGATTCTTATATATATATTTTTTTCTTCTACCCTGAAGATGGAGGCGATACGTTCCTCCGAAACGTCGGTTAACACCACATATACACGGTGCCAAATCCCAGAAGAGTGCTTTCTTCATAGTCACCGCCGTGAAAGCCTCAAATCTTACATAAACCAGACATATCCACACACAGCAACAACCACTGTATTACGCACATGCTTGCAGCCTTGGGAGATGTCGAGGATCAGGGCCTTTTCATGTGAGCATGACTCACTTGATCCGTATTTACTGATCAGGCTGATGAGCGCAAATACAGTATAGACACCTGTATAATCGCATACGTGGGAAGAAGCAGCGTAATAGTTTAAGCGTTCCAACTTTTTATTTATTATGCAACATTTTAATAAAATTCGAGTTTGAAAGAAAAAGTGTTAGTACAGCAGAAACAATATCTGTTACTGACCCATTATCGTGGTCTGGCTCCGTAAGGTGGGCAAATGTGAGAAGGAGGGAGAGATTTCTCTAAAACACTCACGATAATATTAATTATAAAAGTAACATATCGCACTGCACTTACATTGTTAAAGCGGCTTTGACAGTTCTGGGTATACAATATCATTAACTAAATTCCTTATACAGAATTAATTTCTGATTGTAGAATTAAGTAAACACATTAACTCCACGTGCCGTCCGCCCTGTGTTTTTACGGTAAACTTCTGCGTCACTGTTCCCGAACCTCAAGGCAACAGCCCCTTCCATTTCCCAGCTTGTAGGGTTGGAGAAAGGTTAAGTAGAGTGTACATATGCACTATCGAAAGCGTTACCATAACCACCCTAGGCCCTATCATGCAGCTCGTCTTGGCTTGATTCAGTCTACGTTGCAGACACTACGTTCAGGTCTCGTAGACAGTGTCCCCTGGGTCCCACTGTCACGTCACGGACACACACACGGAGTTCTAAAGGACGGCACCTCTCGCCAATACAGTCTGCTCATTTCATAACATACTCCTCTTCCCACCTTCTCTGGGCCCTAGAGATTCATTGGGAAGATAAAACTGTATGTCTTTTCCCCGAATTGAACCTCAACCGTCCAGCTCCATAGCGAGTGACGACTTGTGTACACAGTTTACGTGACCAAGCCAGTTCGTTTTGCGGCAATATCATAATCATACATTTGGGAGGTGTACGACCGGACACCGGCAATTCTGATTGCCTTTCTTGGTTTTTCACAGTTATCCCAAGCAAATGCCTGAACAGTGATTAGGCACACAATTGCTTCCATCCAAACTTCTTTTCCAATTCATTAATTGCTATCAATCTTACCCGTGGACGCTACATAGTTTCACCGTCCCTTACCTCCTTTTCTCTTCTTCTTGAAGTCACCTTTTTAACAGTCCTTCTCTCACCTTACCGTTTGTTAAACTCAATTATTATCTTCGCTCTCCCACACACGTTGGTTGCACCTGTAGGTACTTCTTTCTTGTACTAAATTTTATCTCAGGGTTATTTAATTTATAAGGAGGTGAGGTTTGTTGATTCGGTAGAGCTGAGGGTCTCTTTATCTCAGAGCCTCGAACGGGCCACAACTCTGAGAAGCAATAAATGAACACAAACTACAAAAGCACATATCAAGTTTAGACGAATTATATTACTGAACACTTGTTTAGCCACTTCTTAACACAACTTCAAATCAGTAACTTTCATGTCTTGTTTCTACGAGATCCTGTGTGTGACTCTCTCGACAACTTTTACGTCTACTTTCTGCGGATCCCGATATGTGACTTTTCACGTCTAGTTCTTACGAGTCCGACTTCAACAACTGATTTCTACTCGGACCTTCAAGTCCTTGTTTCCTCAGCGTCTCTGCTCTGTCACGTCCTTAAATTTTAGTGATTGGTTATATTTGAAAAATAGGAGTCTTAATTAGATATTCCTCCACTCCTTTTAACGCTTACAAGGGTTTAAGGATTTTTGACTCCAACGTATTTCTGTCAGAATTTGACAAATGCTTAAGCGTTGCTTGTGTCCTAAAAACTTCACTCTTTTTAAGTTATGGCATGCACAAACTGCCAAGTATTGAATTCACAGAGAATTCTTTAGCTATTCTTTAACGTGACTTTCCTCTAATAAACCTTTGACGGGTGTCTTCCTGTTTCTGTTGTAAGCGTGGGAAGACGCTACCTCTTACATACAAGAATTGACCTATGTCTCACTACCCTTGTTCATTGCATTTCATTTTGAACAATTAAGCTTTCAAATTACTAAAGTTGATTACATTCAAATAAGTTGCGTAGCAGTGGGACGGTTACAATAGCCTGAGAGCGCCTTAATGTGTACACCAAAAAGAATATGCTATTTACTGTATGTACCTTACCAGGGTTGTTCGCATAATTGTCGTATATAACGGGTAAAACTGTAGACAATACGGAATTCTTTTTTTTT